TCTCTCTCGGCTGTGGTATTCCGGCATCCTCCGTCTCTCTCTCTCTCTTGCTTTACAACTTCTCCTGCCGCTCTTTCGGGCCGTCGTTGTCGCTCTCCCTACGAATCGTGTTGCACGCGCATCGACGGGCCGACGCTGCGTGCAATTGCGATTCTCGCAAAAATACGGTAATAAAAACGAAACAACGCAAACGGATCGCACCCTTCCCGATATGAGGGGCGCTCTAGATCCCCGCGTCCTACCCGATCGGGCTTTTTGCCCTTGTGACGGCGCTCTCAAAAGCGTCACGTCACAGTACTTACATAAAGCATACCCTTGTAAGGGGTTACCAATATTAGCCATCATTGCAGGCTGTGGTGTTTGTTGAGCTTGCGGAGCAACTGGTGGAATCTCTGCCTGAGCAGCTAATGGAACCCCTGTCTGTGTAGCTGGTGGAACCTCTGCCTAAGCAACTTGTTTAGCAGCCAATTACCGCTGCAAATCCTGAATATCAATTTTTAATATTTCATTTTCAATAATGAGATTGTAGTCGACGTCACATTAAAAAAGTAGAAATAAAAATGAAATTAATAATTTTATGAATCTCTCTATAAATCTGTTTATGAACTAACTGCACTAGTTCAAAGGTTGTCTTTTTTACTCAACATTGAAAGAAAAAATATAATCTTTGAACTACTGCAACCAGTTCAGTCAAAACAAATAGATTCGATGTTTATATGTACACACAACAACAGGAATGTTTTAGTAAATTTATGCACACATTGGAGCATATAGAAAATACAAATATATTTCGATATGTGCGTCAAATTGTGTTAAACCATTTATGTTGCCATGTGATGAGAACATATCAAGAAACGTATTGTAATTAATAAAATAGAAATCTACTTACTTCTTAAATTACTTTGTTCTTTTCTTTAGTATTCGGCGTTTTTTTTTCTTTATCTTGACTCATTTTAAATTAATATAATATCACTGCGAGCTTGCAAGACAAGTATACAATAGATGCCGGTCTGCGGTTGATGAGACAAGAAAACGTCGGCACTGTTGTCAATTTCGAGATAGCATACTGCCCACGCATTTGCAAAAAACCTGACTCATAGTGCCACCAGGCTTGTGCGCAAAACAGTTGTCGCGCGCCAAAAAGCAATACGTTGATTGGCTACTGCTTCAATTCATGTTGAAGCAAACGTTTTTGCGCATGCGCGGTAGTATGTTACTCGAAATTGGCAACAGTGCTAACGTTTTCTTGTCTCGTCGCTATTTATTATTGGCATCTATTGTATACTCGTCTTGCAAGCTCGCAGTGATATTATATTTATTTAAAATGAGTAAAGATAAAGAAAAGAAAACGCCGAATACTAAAAAAAAGAGCACAAAGATTCAAGAAGTAAGTAGATTTTTATTTTATTATTATAATACGTTTCTTTATATGTTCTTATTATACGGCAACATGAATGGTTTAACACAATTTTACGCACATATCGGAATATATTTACATTTTCTATATGCTCCAATGTGTGTATAAAACATTCCTGTTGTATGTACATACAACATCGGACCTTTGTTTTGACTGAACTGGTTGCACTAGTTCAGAGGTTATATATTTTCTTCCAATGTTGAGTAAAAAAGACAACCTCTTAACTAGTGCAGCCAGTTCATGAACAGATTTATAAAGAGATTCACAAAATTATTAATTTCATTTTTATTTTTTTAGTGTGACGATGACTACAATCTCATTGTGATGAAAACGAAAAATTAAATTTAAAATGCAGGAATTGCAGCGTCAGTTGGCTGCTGCAAAACAAGCTGCACAGGCAGAGATTCCACCAGCTACAGGCAGAGGTTCCACGAGCTACTCAGGCAGAGGCTCCACCAGCTCTTCATGCAGAAAGAAAGCGCACGCAACCTTCCCAGCGCAGTAGTGGCTAATATTAACCCCCCCCCCCCCAAAGAATGCTTTACGTAAGTATAAAAAATTAATTAAACATATATTATATAGAAAGATAGAAATATATACATAGATATTTATATATAAAAAATAAAAAGCGTGCACGGACGCACGAACAAGGACGTAGTCGAGGACGCGAACGTGACTGTGGACGCGGACGAAGAAATACTATATATATTAATATGTAAAATATATATAGCTGCTATATAACATGTAGTTAACGTGAATATTACATGTAAAGTACAGATTAATAGTAATTTCTCATTTATACATGTAACTTTTGTATTATAACATATGTTACATTGTAGTTGTATTGTAATTATCTCGATATCATTGTAACCATCGATAACTCAGAATGCTGTAAATAAATTTCAATAAAAATTAAACGTTATTACGTTTTATTTAATATTTAAAATTAAATACTTTACAACATGTAATACTTTACATTAAAAATAACTAATGTGCCCTTAAATTTATTAGTTAAACATGTTATATAGCAGCTATATAAATAATAATGTAATTATAAATAATAAATAATTATATTGTATGATAATATTACGTAAACGTCCACGCGGGATAGCGAATACGCGAAAACGCAGCGAGTGTGAATTGTGAAGTAAGGAAGAAATGTCTTCTTACTAACGCCGGTCTCGGCACGATCTCTCGACTCGATCGCGAAATTTTTAACTGAGTTGGGCGCCAGGTGCGGACTCCACTCCCTGGCTCTCAAAGGAGCGGGGGAGGGACGCGGCTGGGGGGGCCGAGGGGGGCCACGCGTCCCCGGCGGGCAGGCGCTGTCTGTCAGGCCGGGGCGCCTGGGTCCCCCTCTGTGAGGACGTGACGCGCGGGGCCCTCTCGCCGGGAGCCAGGAGGCACCGGCGGGAGAACAACGCCGTCCACGGAAGGGGTTCCTCTCCTTCAGAGAGGAGCCCTCTGGTGAGGGCTCCCCTGGTGGAACGCCGAACCGGGTCACCCTCTAGGGGGTCCGGGGGTCGCGCCCACCGGAGGGGCGGGGGGCCTCGCGCGGGAGTTCTCGAGCCATGGCCCCGCCCCCCAAACTCTTTGGGAGGGCGCGGTGTGGGGTCGGTGTCGCCCTGCGCCGCAACCGGGACGGAACCGCGCAGTCATTGACTGCGCGGTCGGGGAGAGGTCTTGGCCGCAAGGCTAAGGCAGCTCCCCGGAGATGGCTTGGCGGGGACGGCGGGACGGCATGGGATTCCAGCATCCTCGCCGTCCCCTATCCAACCCGGATGGACACCCGCTGGGGTTTTAGTGAGGTAGGTCTTGGGCCCCCTGGTCGAACCATTCGTGGCTCGACCAAAGGAACAAGGGCTTACCGGGCATGTCCCTGACGGGGGGTCCCCGCGTCCTGCTTCCAATGCCTCCACACCGTCTCTCAATGATGCTAATTACCGAAACGCGTCGACTATTGCTAAGACTATCGTCGAAAGTGCTATCGCAAACGTCGTTTACGGGAGAGAGAAATCGTGTGTCACGTCCGGCCGTAGTAAATTTTCTCGTTTACTCCAAGTTCCTTAAACGCTATTTGAAAAGCGCGCCAAGCCGGCCATGACTCCTAACTCCGTTTAGTAACACAGCGCGGCGCTCCGTGCGCCTAAGGATCTTCCACCACGGCTCCTGAGAAATCTCCCACTCCGGAGAGCTTCCCCTCTCCCAGCCGCCGAGACCGGAGCCGCCGAAACGAAGGACCTTAGAGCACCGAATTTTGTCAGTCCTTCGCGACTACCGAACAGTACAGTCGCACTCCTAAATTACTAGCTCTAAATTCTAAATTCTGAATTCTAATCTCTCCTAATATAATACTTTACTCTAATAATAAGTCGGTCTATTCTAAGTTTTAGTCGAACTGTACTACAATACGAATAAATCAGTGTACATGCAAAACTAGTGTTCAGTACTCTTCAAAACTTCACTCCCGTGATAAAATACGATAGCGTTTAAATGTGTCATAGGCGTTTGAATTCGGAACAATTAACTGTGTCTGGAGCACCACCGCTCAACCTTAGAATTAACATTCTCAGCATTTGCCAAAATAAAACTGATAGTGAGGTCCGCCGCATATCAAGCCTCCTTATTTGAGTAATCATTCAGAGGATGCATCAAATTCAATATGCCTAAGACGCGACGCGAAGGAAGAATCAATTACGAAAACTAAACCGACTTTATCGTGAATCAGCGACCGAAGAATATTCTCAATTCCTCGGAGTGGAGTATCAGGCCGATCTGAATAAACGACAGACAACATTAAAATAATAACAACGACGAACTTCTACCGTGGAAGTGCATACCAATAACGTTCCGACCACGACGCCTGCCGCCGCCAAACATCCCAGTAAACGACTCTCGCCGCACGCACTACCTCCAAGTACGCCGACACGATCAAGAAAGTGCTACTAAAGGTAAGTGAAATTCACGTTAACCTAAGGAATCGCGCGTGTTAGCAAATTCAGAAACGCTTCTACCACGTGGAAAAGAACATTCTAGAAACTCCACGCATTTATCCTCTTTTCCATTGTCACTGCGGAAGCTATAAAAAAAGGGTCGCGTATAAACTCGGACCATAATTCTCGTCTCGAACTTCTAACACGGAAAAACGCAAATAATTCAATCTCTTAGTGATTTCGGTCTTGTAGCAAAACGTAAACTTTCCCAAGTAGTCATTAAACTCTCGATTTCCTCTCGATAAACGCGACTATCACCGTTCTTTTACCGATACGACACACGTTCTTTTACCGACATTACCGACATTATACCGACATACGGACACGTTACCAACAATATACCGACATCCTTTTACCGACGCTACCGACAATATACCGACATATTCTTTCACCGACATTGTCGACAATAGAAACTTACGGCGTACCCCATCGCGACACGACTTCGACTAACGCCTCGACGATTTTCTTACCTTACTGCCCTTACCGTGTTTTACTCGATCCATTTTGCCGACAATTAAACTCCTCGATAACTGCCGAGTTCACCGAACTTCTACGAGCGAACGGCGCCTTCAATTCGATTACGCAGCAAGCTACGGTCCAGGGAGCCTCGACAACGCCTGGCCCATTAAACCCTTAGGGCTGGCCTGTTCTACCTTAGTTCGTTGACAAACCTCGCACCGTTTCACATAGTCCGTGATATCTCTAAACATGTTCGGCCAGTAATAACGAACGGCTAATCGGTGGTAGGTTTTCTCAACCCCGAGGTGCCCGGATCGCGGTTCGTCGTGTGCCTCTCTCAACGCGTCTCTCCGCAACTCTCTAGGCAACACGAGTTTCCACCTATCCAGATCCTCGACGATCTCCGACACGACCGGCTTCGGTCGACAGAAATATAGTTGTCCGTCCACTATTCTCCAATCGGTAAACGGACGCGCTTTCGTGGCGACTTCCGTAAGACGCTTCTTATACCAGGCATCGTTCGTGTTCGCGTTTTCTTCGACATCTACAGCGGCGACAATGGGAATCTCGGTGTCACCCTCGAACATTCGCGACAACGCATCAGGCACGTGATGTAGCGCGCCTTTCCTGTGTATGATCTCGTAATCGTACTCCAAAAGCTCTAACGCCCATCTCGCGAGTCGACCTGTTGGGTTCTTTAAGTTGTGAAGCCATCGCAGACTGCTATGATCGGTAATCACCGTGAATTTATAGCCCTCTAAGTACGGTCTAAACTTCTTTATAGCCCAGATAACGGCTAAGCATTCCTGCTCCGTCACGGTGTATCTCTTTTCCGGATCGGCTAAGGCTCTACTCGCGAAAGCGATTACGTGTTCTTCCTCGTTAATAGTTTGCGTAAGCACGGCACCTATTCCGACCGAGCTAGCGTCCGTCTGAAGGACGAACGGAATGCTGAAATCGGGTCGCGACAACGTGGGCGCGGCAACGAGATACGATCGAATTTCCTCAAACGCGTGGACCTGTTCGTTGGTCCATTTCCACGGCTGATCTTTCTTTAACAGGCGCGTTAGCGGTTCGCTCCGCGTCGCGAATTGAGGAATAAACCTCCGATACCAGGACGACATACCCAGAAATCGTCGGAGTTGTTTTAAATTCGTAGGGGCCGGGTACTCGAGAATCGGCTGTGCCTTCTCCGGATCTACTGATAATCCCTCCTTGCTCACAATGAAACCGAGATATTTAACTTGTGCGCGGCAAAATTCGCACTTCTCGGGATTGATCGTTAATCCGGCAGCGAGGATCTTTTGCAACACGCGATCCAGCCATTCTAAATGCTCTTTGAAAGTTGGCGTCACGATCACAATATCATCTAAATACGCAAAAGCATGCGGTTCCATCTCCGGTCCTATCAGTCGATCAAGTAACCGTTGAAATGTCGCGGGCGCTCCCGTCAAGCCGTACGGCATCCGCGTAAACTGATACAGGCCTTTCCCCGGAACGCTAAAGGCGGTAATTTCGCGGCTTTCATTCGCGAGGGGCACTTGAAAGTAAGCTTGGCTCAGGTCGATCGTCGAGATGTAACGCGCCGAACGCAGTTTGTCCAGTATGCCGTTCATATTCGGCAGCGGGTAGGCGTCCTTTTTCGACACGTCGTTTACCTTCCGGAAATCCAAACAAAAGCGATACTTTCCGTTGGGCTTTTTGATCATCACGATCGGATTTGACCATTCGCTATGCGAGGGTTCGATTATCCCGGCGCGCAGCATTTTATCTACCTCGGCGTGAATTGCTTCCTGTACCTTCGGAGATACGAGGTAGCAGCGCTGCCGGATCGGCTTATTTTGTCCGACATCTATCGTATGCTCGGTAAGCGAAGTGACACCGGGATTCTCAACAGGGTCCGGCAACCGCTCTTTAAGAAATCTACCTAATCTTTCGGTTTCCGACGGGGTCAGTTCCGAGAGTCCACAGCACGTTTGCGCAGATCCCTTATTATTTAGAAAGGGGTACCTGCACGTTGATTCGTCGGCGAAATACCATTCCGCGGCAGCAAAGTCTACTATTACCTTAAACGCGCGCAAAAAATCGACTCCTAATATACACGGGACGGCTAGGCTCGGCAACAAACACGTGGAGACGTCGCGGCTTCGACCTGCTACTTGAAGCGTAATCTCTGCTTCTTCGCGTACCTCCGCTAGCTGTCCGTTCGCGGTTCGAATCTGCGTACGATGATCGCGGTTAATCGGCGATCTCAACCGGCGAATAATTTTTATGCCCGCGGCTCCGAGGATGGTTCTATTTGACCCCGAGTCGATCAGAGCGCGTAAGGTTTCGCCCCCCAGCGAGATCTCGCAGTACGGGAGCTGCGACAGCGTTCGAGCGTCGTCGCCGAGTGAGCTGGACGACAAGCTAGAGGCCTCGCTCGTGGCTTCCGCGCGGGCCTTTTCTAAGTATTCCGGGATCACCGGGGCCCGCCCTAGTGATTCCCGCTTTCGTTTCCCGCACATGCCGGGCACGTTCGGACGGTAACGTTTGTTTTCCCGCAACGATAGCAATATACGCGGCGCGGCTCAGCGCATTCGCGTGCGATATGGCCGGCCTTGTCGCAGTTCCAGCATTTGCCGGATGATTTCGCAGAATTCGCGTGACTCGAGGACGCGACGTTACTCGTGGAGGCGGCAGCCTCACTATTCTGTCGTGCGGAATTAGATTGCGCCTTCGTCGCGCGAGCGGCCTCTTTTCGCGCGCGTCTCTCGGCACGCTTCTTTCCTGGGAGGTTATCCGTCAATCCGATAGCCGCGACCGCGGGAGTTTTCTTAGAACTCTTCGGCGGTGCCCGATACGCGAGATCCGGGAATATCATCTGTTCCGGCGGCGGAGGCGCACGATATCGACTAGCGGCTTCGTACCCCTGCTCCACTCGCGTAGCCTGACTCTCCAGTGAAGCAAAATCGTAAAAGTCGCGGCGCTGAACTACGATTTGCAACCGCGGCAACATATTCCGGTGAGCCTGATTAAGCTGTTCTTCCAGACTCCACGGCGGACTCAGTCTCTCAAACATCGCGCGAATACAAGTAAGAAAATCGGCAATCGACTCGTATTCCCCCTGCGTGCGTCTCTGTATGTCTTCGCGTAACGCGAACTGAAAGTCCGGACTACCGAACCGCGCACGCCACGACGTTTCAAATTCCTTCCAAGTCCGCCACCGTCCGCGCTCGTTCCGATACCAATATAAAGCCGTGCCGTTCAAAAAGAAAGGGATACACTTGAATACGTCGGCATCGGTGGCCGTGAATAGGGCGCGACCCTCCTCGATACGCAATAGGAAGGCTTCCGCGTCGCAACCTCGAGCGCCGGAGAATTTAAGGTTCCACCGACGCATCATCTGATATACGTCGGTCGCGGAATCGGTACGACGCGCGGGCGCACGAATTTCCGGTTCGCGTCTCGGCAGCTGTAGTAACGGAGGCTGCAAGAGATGCTCCGCGAAATCCATTCCCGGGGTCCGAACTCGATCGTCCTTGATGATCGTTCCGGTACTCGATTCGCCCGATGCGCGATCGTCCCCGCTATCCTCGCCTTCCGTTTCCGGAGTCGGCGGCGGCCTCCACCCTAATTGCTCGCAGCGAACGGCTTTGGTCAGCCGCGCACGCAAGACGGGTAATATTCCTTCCGTTTTCAATCCGCGGCATTCTAATTCTTCGCGCAATTGTTCTAACGATAATTCGTGGAGTCGCGCGACTCGTTGTTCGGCGTCGGAATCCATTTCAAGGATCGTTGTTCGTTCGGCCGTGGACGCGCTAATTGCCGGTCCTCGCGAATCAATCTACCGAGGCGTCGTATTATCGGACCGAAGACCGATCAGAGAACATACCCAACAAAAATTATTTTCCGCCAAACAAGGGAAGAGAAAAAAAAAACTTTTCCGAGAACGGACACTCCAGCTAATACCCTGAAATAAATATTTGCTTCACGGCTGTGAACTTCAGAACGTAAACATTCGGCGGCAATAATAAACGGATTAGTCGTCGAGAAGCGATGAGCACGGCGGAGGACAATAGGGCCACGTCAATATAACGCGCGGTGTCACGACCTATCGAGAAAATAACAAGTATACACAACAGCGTCACGCTATGATATGCTAACGCGAGCGAATTCTCGAACAGCCTATGAGTCGCGATCGGATTCTTTCTCTTAATTAGGTTTAATTCCCTAGCCCCAATCAGTGCTGTAATTTCATGGATCGTTTCCGCACAATACAACGTGTCAATCGTAAACACTATATAATAGCAATTATCGCTGAAAGAAACGGATTATCGCACATTATAAGAAACACATTTTATGATAATAAAGCATTTATAAATAATGAGCACATCTTATATATGTTCGGCAGCAGACACCTCTCTCTTTATTTCATATGCTTCTATTTAATTTTATATAAATGGTAGATATTTATTCGATCCGTACTTGATTACTTGATAAAAGATTATTATGATCTCAAAAGTTTATATTAATGGAAACTTCTTTGCTGTTACAAGGGGAGCAGCAACAGGATGGAAAAAAAAAATTTTAACCCTAAGAGACGACAACTGATTGAACTCTCTCTTGGAAATACAAGAAAAGAGAGAGAGAAAAAAAAAATATATAATTTTAAAGTTATCAATAATAATTTTTCATCATACGCTAATAAATTTTGTAAATAAGTTATAAAATTTTCATTGAGAGAGTGTGCGCCGGATTACAATTTCAAACATACAAGAAAAATTTTCAATTGATACATAATTCCGTCAAGTACATGTTCAGCCGAAGAAGAAAAAAAATGTTTGTTCTCGTAATGTTAGTTTTCCCCCAATAGTTCCCGATAAGTAAAGGGAGAAAGCGAGAGAGAAAAAAAAACTTCTCTCCTTCAAATTAGCTCGTCGCGACAGATATCTTCAATTTTCCACGAAAGTTATTTTTTTCGCGAAAAGAAAAAAAAAGAAAAATTTTTTCTCAGTCTTACGTGATGTCGTTAACGTCAACGCAAAAAAAAATTAATTTTTCGATACTTATTTTACTCATAATAATTTTACAGAACTTTATCTTCCCAAAAATCTCCCAACAAAATTTTCCAACATTTATTAATTTTTGACGAGCCAATTTCCTATCTCCCCTTAATTACACACAAAAAAAAAAGAAAACTTTAATCCTCTGGTGAATTTCAGTTTCTTCGCCACGCACCGGGTCTTCAGGCCTCGACGTTGGGCGCCAATTTATAACCGTATCGCGCGGAATTCGCAGCGAATATCCATTCGTCGCGGAAGGAGAAAAGTCTCCTGCGGAATATCGGTTACCTTCGGCGCGATCTCTCCGTTCGATCACAAAAAAAAATTTGCAACAAACAAAAAAAATAATAAAGAGAAAACTAAAATCTCAATTTAGTTGGGCGCCAGGTGCGGCAGCCGCACCGTCTCTCAATTAATAAATTCGCGGGACGCTAAGTCTTAATTTCCTCGGACCTCTTGTCCTAGCCCTTTCGCGGGCGTCAATCACGGGAGAGAGAGAGATCGCGACGGCAACTTTCCCGCTCGGCTAGCCTCTGTGCGGGTAAGGGTTCGGGTGCGTGGCGGCAAGAAATCACCCTAGGAATTAAAGTTAGTAAAACATATATTTAACTTTGGTTCACAAGACACATGAGTATATAATATAAAGAAATAAGCGGCGTGCACAGACGCACGATTGAGAGTTCGGTGGGGCACTACGCCCGGTGGTTCGCCGTGCCGAGTTATGAATAATCTTTAACAAATTCGCGGCAACAAAGTAGGGTCCCCAATAACGAAAAGACGATTAATTAAATCGGCGACGCGCCACCGGGTATATGGCTCCACGCCGCGGGCGCGTGATCCGCGCGGTATGCGCGACAACAAAGGGGCCGGCGTAAGGGCGCACCGCGTGCGCCGTACATAAATTCCACACACAAAATCAAACGTAATCACGCCTTTTCGTTTAAGCCTTTACAACCTCAATACTTTACAACATTAATACTTTACATTATCAATACTTTAATGAGCCTGAAAGCGTTTATGAGCTCTTTGATTTTCGCTTCGAACAATAATCGGCAACGCGTAAATCGCGGTAATTTTCGCGCGACAATGTTACGCGCGAAGACTGTCCACGCGGGAGAGAGAATACGCGAAAACGCAAGAGAGTGGATGGGTCATAGTTTCTCCCAATGGAGTTTCGTTACGTTAATACCGTGACTCGACGATAAAACGAATCTCTCGTAATTTATAACTGGCCGGCAACTAAGTCCGGCATACTCTCTTAACGATAAGTAATTCGGGACCCATCCACTCGGCTACCTTAATTCGGCGACAGCAGGATGACCACGTCGTCTCACCAGTCCTATAACGATCCTTATCGTCCTCTCCTCTTTCGCTCTCCCTGAGTTGCGCTTCCGTCTCGGGACCTCCGCTCTCTTCGGGCGCTCGCTAGACAGTGCCGAACCGGGGGCCCTCAGGAGACACGTCGGTGACCCAATTATGTAGATAGGCCACTCGCGGCGCTATCAGGTCGGCCGCGCGCGCGGCCTCGGTGATCCTTGCGGCCGCGCGCGTAATTATCCTTACCCGCGGAGTCCTGATCCGCGGGTTGCCCTTCGTAGGCGGTCGTCGCGGCAGCGCACGGCAGGGCCGCTCCTTGCTCTCCTTCGGGATTCCGGAAGTCCCGGGGGCGGCAGCTCTCCTGCCGGCGCTCCGTATGCGGGGACTCGGGTGCTTGTTGCACCCGAGTGGCCATCCCCTGTTCGCCCCTGGAAGGTACAAATTTTCAGGCAGTGGCACCTACTCCGTTGTCGGATATTTGGTGAAGAAATTTTTAACTTTGGGCTTACCGGGCATGTCCCTGACGAAGGGGGTCCCCGTCGTCCTGCTTCCTATGCCTTCCCTTTTCTCCTCCAGGTTTTCTCTATCGGCTGAGACTCGTCGCACATCCTGTCTGCCGCCGAAATAATCCTAACTCTCAACAAAACAAAAAAAAATATGGAAACGCGTAGCAGCGGGTTCGCGTCCGATCCCGCGCTTTTCGCACGCACGCTCTCTCTCTCTCTCTCACTGTCTCGGGAGAGCAGAGGTCCCGTGCCCTCCCCCGATCGGGCCATTCAGCCCTTGTGACGGACAATTTCAATTTGTCACGTCACAATATATATAATATTATATATT